AATTACTCCCACATCGTCTCTGCTGGTGTCCCATTTTTATGAGTAAGGAAAAAGAACGAATAAAAGTATGTGCTATATAATAAGAGATAACATTTCATTCGACCCTAATTCTGTGCTGAGAAGGCTCTGCACTGAAATGTAAGCTGAATGATAATAATAGTTAATGCAGATTTGACACAAAAGGCATGTTAGGTACATGGCTATGGTTTTTGCCATGGTCTCTATTATAGATATGCATAGTAGAGTTACATGCAATCTCTTATAACAAGTTGTTCTAGTTCTCCAGACACAGGTTTATGATGCTATGTAAACCATCTTTCTCTAATAGAAGTGCTAATAAGCCCTCAGCACCTTCACCAAGACTTTCATTTCAAACTATGCTAAACAGATATACCAATATTAGGAGCAGCAGTGAATATAGTATGTTTGTTACTATGAATAAGTGGTGCAAACTGATAACTTGAAAGTATTCTCAGTAGCTCTCTGAAAAGGGTAGATACATTCTTACATAATTAAAACTATTGTTATACAATGGCTAACAAAGACCAGGTTCCACAATGAACTACTTACGTGTATCTTTTTTCTGGGATGGAAAATATAAGATGCAGTTCAGGTAGTTATGGATAATATTATGTATACAATGGCCGTCAGTGATTCAGACGGGCACTGCAGAAACATTATGCCTACCTTTGTGGATAAGTATTCCAAAAAAGATATTTATTCAGAAAAGTATCGTTTTGTGTTACCTGGTGGGAAAGAAATGGATGCTAACATCCAAATTTAAAAATCTTGATTCATGTGCCATTGTTGTACTTCTAAAACAAAAAGCTAGGCAATCATATTTTTTTTAATTTATTTTGAAATTCCATTTCCCTTCTGTGTAGGTGAGGAAATTGGAATGCTAGAAGACATGGCTGTGGGAATAGCAGATTTACAAAAAGTCATGTTTAAAATAACTGAAACTAAATCAGATGACCTCTTGCCCGTTGTAACTGGGAGAAGGTAGGTATAGTACTAACCTATTTATTTCTTTAAAGACAAGAATGAAACTTTTTCTATGCCAGAAAAAAACAAATGTAATGTCATAGAATGCCTTCTGAATGCTAAGCTAACTTATTCTTGTAACTGTAATTTGCAACAAATAGACAGAGGTGTGAAAAAATGCCCTTAAGAGGTTTGTAAAGATAATAGACTTTTAGAGTTTATCAGTATATTTGAGAGAAATAGATTACTGTGCAAAGCAGCATCTCTTACTGAAATTCTCACATGTTATTGAATTTTTTTTCTCTTTGTTTTTGTTTTTTGTTTTGTTTGTTTTCAAACTTTGGAGACATCAAGAAAAACTGCCCCCCCCCACAAGCATTACTGAATAATAGTATTTTGTTACCAGCTATTCTGCAACTAGGTACAAGGAAAGCTATTCAGACAAGAAAGCAAGAGGTGTTTTTGAAATTATATTTCATAAAAAAGATCACACTGGAGAAAAATGAGCCATTAATTTGAAGATGTCAGCTTTAAAATATTACACTTTATGAAAATTCAAGGAATCTGACCCAAAAACTCAAATGTGTTCTTTAAAGACACCTAAGAGCTTGGATATATTTTCCCTATGGAAGCAAAACTTTTTGATTCATGGGCCAAGATCTGTTTACAGTAGGAAAAGTGGTATCTCAATGCACAAAGTAGCTACAGGCTTATGTCTGTTGCACAGAAACCATCAAAAGAAGTGGTAACCGTGTTAAATCTAGTCTTAGATGTCATTATTACCTTTCTAAAATCAACACAGAAAGTGACTAGACAGTTTGACATGGGAATAAGAATGATAGGAGATATGTGCAAAGGAATATCAGAATATCCATGGGAGTTCACATTTGGGAATGTCCTGTGACACTTAGTCACTGAAAATAGTTTTTTTAAGTATATTAAGATATATCTCAGCTAGTTAGAAATTTATAATGAAAAACTTCATCACTAAATGGCATAAATAGGAAGAGAACAGAAAAACAGGAAAAGGTATCCTGAATGTTAGATATAGTGGCTTTATTGCAAGGTAAGATACAATGTGTTAATGATGTTGGGCATGATAGCCATGAAACTGGATATGGATTTGGCACATGCAACTGGGCTACATAAATATAATTCCTTATATCTTTTTATCAGGGTAACCCTCTACCACCACCTCCCACTCCCAAACTGATGCAGAGAAGTTCAGGAAACTCAGCTGAGTGTAGTAGACTGTGGTGTGGCAGAATCTCCAAAAATATAGCAGTGGCACCTCCCACAGAAAGTCCCTCTGTCCAATTGTAAGGCCTACCCTGACTCTGCAAGGCCTTCTGACCCCACTGTGCAGCACTTTTAGTAGGCTAGAGGGACTATCATAGGAAGAACAGGTGGGAAGGTCCACTTTTACCAGCCACCTTGCACGTGCTTAAATCTGGACCCATGCTATGGAGTTGTATCCGACACAATTGTAGTGAGAAAAGTGCAATCCCTGGTGTTGGGATATGGATGAATATACAAAAAGTTCTTGTCAAGGTACAAAGTCTTTAATAGTAAGGAACGTTATAGATGGTTGAGAGTTCTAGGCCTTAATTGAAGGGAAAGAGAGAGGGTTATTCAGTGAAAGTGGACAAACACACATATAATGCATTGACTTATTTTTTAGCCTGATAATAACAGTATATGTGCAATGGTGACCAGATCTGATTACCTGTGGTTATTCTTCTCTTCTGGAATTAACTTGCTCCAGAAACCTTGTTCCAGAAACTTTCTGAACATTGTTTTAAAGCATATGTTGCCTGTTGGAAGTACATTAATGCTTACAAATGCAGGTATTTAAAAATAAGATGACGGATTTCACAACTGCAAATCTAAGTACACATACTTTAGTTTGCTTCAATCTTGTGAGATAAACATACTTTGATCTCAAGACCAGTATTTGTCTTGTGTCTTGCCAGTTCTTTTATGGCCTCCTTCTTACCTTTAGCTTTTCCTGTATGGAAATGTTACATCTGTTCTGTCAGCATCTCACTTCAATGCAAAATGTTTTAAGGATGGGGAGAAATTTTTAAAATAGTAAAAGTGCCATAACTTTTTAATTTCACAAAGATGTTTTTACATATTTAGGTTCTTAGAGCATAAGAAAATATGCAGAAAAACTGTAAACACAAATCAGGCTTCACTGGTACCATATTTAAATCATTGACAGTGTAGTAAGTCTCCTTGGAGTAGGCCCATGAGTCAGTAGGAACTTGATGAGTGAATTCCTCTGCAAGTTCCATTGATTCATATAGACTGCTCTAGATGCAACTTATTTTAGCATAGTAATTCACAACTAGAATAGGCCAATTTGAATTTATTTTAGCATAGTAATTCACAGCTAGAATAGGCCAATTTGAATCATTGGAATTTATGGAGTTGACTCATCAAATCCTCACTGATTCAGTGGACTTGCTCTAGTTGTGGGTTACTACACTAAGCAATAGGATATCAGCCATTGAAATACAAGTGCATATTGAAATGCTTATCTATGCTTTGAGTGTAATGGGATTTGTGTAGAACCAATAAGCATTAAATGATTTTGTAAAACCTGAAAAGCACACCTATGTGTAACACCAAACTATGATTTCGCATAATGTAAATGAACAGTTTGGTCTTACACACTTCCTCAGCTCATAGACACTGATTTCTTGATTGACCGTTTTTCAGACAACCATAATTTGTTGTTGCATTTGATTGTATAGATTTCCAGTCTTCTAAGACACAAAGAAAATGTAATCTGTTGACAATTTACAGCTTAATCCTCTACAAATCATTAAGGAAATTCTGACTTCTAAATTTAGCATCTGTGTTTGTTACAGTCAGTACACAGAAGTAACTAACTTTAAACCCCCACACTCTTAGAAATGAAATGGACAAAGAGACACTTCCAAAGATAGACCCCTATCCAGATGTATGCTTGAAACTCATCTTTGTTTTAGGAGAACTGACTGTGGCTTAAGCAGAGGGCAGGTTCATCTCCCATTTTTTCCCCAGTGAATGCAGCATGAATAGCTTGGTGTGATCCTTCCCTGGTCTTTAAAACAGCAGAGCAGTCTACAAGACACCCTCCACCTCTTCTGGGTTTAAGGATCTTCAAACACCTAATGGATGCTCACCCAAGAAATTTTGCTGCCTGAGGCAAAGCAACAAAGGATGTCCACTCATACAAGCAGGACAAGGGCATAGTGGCAAGTTGTTTTAGCACACGAGACTGGAAAGCCCAAGAACACCTCTCTCCAGATTTAAACATGCAACAGTAATAAATGAATTAATTTGGCATCCTTTCCTGACATCCAGAATCAGAATGCTTGAGGTGGTTACCTCATTCTGTCTAGTGGTAGGACCAGGACTGAATCTTCAGGATCATATTGTTTTTTATCTTTCTGATTTAGAAGCATTTAGTCTCAATTGACCTTAGTTTAGATCTCAAATGCATTTTAATAACATAATGAATTAGTTCTATTGAAGTGTCTGTGATTTTATTGTATTTTGATCATCTATTGTGCTTTTAACTCTTTTGTAAGTCACTTTGGGTCCCACTTGTGTGAAGGAGGTGGTGTATATATATATTGAATGAATGGATGAATTAATTAATGAGTGAATTTAGAAGACTGGTTGTGCTAGAACGAACAGACCTGTATGGCCCTAATAGTTTTTATGTTTTATAAAGGTGTCCTGCTTGTTTTTCATTAAGTTTCTGCAACTTAACAGAAGCCCTGAGTCAAAGGCAGGATGCAAATCTACTGAAAATAAATAAATCAGAGAACTTTAGTTTTACATTGTACAAATTGCTCTTCTCTCCCCAGAGGCCATTATGTAATAGAAATCAAGCTTCCAGAAAAGATGTTCGAGTTGCTTCCACAAGAGATTAAAGAGGGGAAATTGCTTCATGTCTATCCAGTCCTCTTTAATGTTGGAATCAATGAACAGCAAACACTTGCAGAAAGGTGAGCGTGCCATCAGGATTATGTTTCTGAGACTATGAGCTACTCACCCATGGAGTTATAGGATAAATACCTAGGATATCAAACACATAGAAAGTACCCATGTCCACTATCTGGTTTCCTAACAGCCACTACTTAGTGTTTCAGCCTGAAGCCCACCTGCTTCAAACTATGTTTCTGTAGTAAGAAAACCTGGCATATGTTTTTGACTAGTGAACTAAAACAGAAAGAATTTTTTTAGGGACAGAGGAGGGGAAATTCTAGCCTGCAGAGGGTCTGTAGGATGCCATTTACAGAAAACCTTCCCGATGGAGTGAGGGACACTCTCTTGCATGCCCTCCTGTTCACTCTCCTAAGTGAAAAGGAGGGGCTATACATGTTCTTTCTGGTATTTGATCAGAAATAATACAGTCTAAGAGCTTCCGCATGTTGTAAGACATGAGAGTGGGGACATGTAGCAGCCCTACAACTCAAGTGCCAAGCAGCCAATATTTGGTTGCAGTAGTAGCTTCACTGTGCTTTATCCGCTAGATAAAATACCTCACAAGACAAGGAGTGGATAGGTAAATCCACCCAGGAGCAACCATTTATCTGAAGGAACATGCCAGCAAATGGCCCTTCTGCCTCTTCCCCCACGTCCTGCAGAGAGAGAGAGAGAGAGAGAGAGAAATATTTTAGGCACACATTATGGAAAATATTAACAGGCTGCTTTAATTTAAATTTAGTTGCGATAAAATCCTTCATATACAGAGGAGCAGTACATGACAGAATAAAATCTGGAGCAAAAATTTGTGTTTCAGGTTAACAATGACAAACAATTTCACTGAAATGACAGATGAAAGCTGCAGTTCTGCACATATTGTGATATCGATGTCTACACCTTTGATATTCAGGCTAATCCTTTGGCTGTAAATGGAAAAACCAGATAGAATCAGGTGTAACAGAAAACTTGTTAGTACATAGGGAAAGACGCATGAAAAGGATATTTTTGCACGGCAGCATTGCAGTCAGAGGTCTTCTGCTCTGCGCTATCTCTCACACAGAGAGTTTAAATCCCACAGTTTTTCCTTTGTTGATGTGAGTCATAGTGTTGCCGCTGCCCCAAATACTAGACGTTATTTGAATAATGAAACAGCTATTGATACTTCTGTTAGTAGCCCCCCTCTTCTCCTTTGAGCAAGACCAGAAAAGCAGGCTGCAGCCTTTGATAGCTTTTTTTCAGGGAGGGGCATCATGGGGGAGGGAGATTTGGGAAAAACTAAAGGTTTGCTTTTCATTTATTAGTGTATGGTGTTCATTTAGATGGCCTTTACTCCAAACTAAGCCTTATGAATTTCAACAGAACTTATTTCAACAGAACTGATGAAATACCTTTTGGACTGGAGTTTCTGTTTTATATTTATATTGTACTATCACACAATTTTACAAAATAAAGGTATTTGAATTGGAACTTTTAAAATGTGTAGATTTAGTATCTTTTTTAGGTAATCAGGCAGACTAATCCTCACATGCAGCCTGTACCAGGTGGGCAGTCAGGAGCTGTTTCTTCATCAAGTGGTTCTCAGTCCTTTTTATTCTTCTGTCGCCTTCTTATTAAAGTTCCATAGTTTAGATGGCATAGTTTAGGGGCTAAATCCTGAAACTTCATTGGGAAATAGGAGGGTACTTAGGATTCAGTGGATCCAAAAGGCACAGCTTTTGTGGGCAGAGCTTTCCATGGACGTAACTAGGACCTTGGGGTGGACATGCCTCACCTCACACTGAAGCTGTTTTCCATGGATGTGGAGATCATGCAACACATTGTGATCCCCTTCAGACAGTTTATCTGTGGGTCAAGATTGTATTGTATTCTTTAAATGACGCTCAGCTAGTTCCAGATGGTATTGCATTCCCTCAAAGGAACCATTTTACAGTTCGAGGAACTGTTTATGAGAAAGAATCACAGGGAACCTCATTGGCTCGGCTTCAACTCTTATATAAGCTGTGGCCCTAAGTAAGTAGAAATGGCCTTTAAATAGTTATTTCTGCTCTGATAATCTCCCATTTAGATGTTGCAAGCAATGTGTTAAATGTAGGATTTCTGTGAAAGGAGTCTGGACATTTCCATTAGTCCCAAAATGGACTGCCCAGTAGGATCATATTATGCTAGTACTTCACTGCATTGGCTGCCAGTCCATTTCAGGCCAAGTTCAAATTGCTGGTTCTATATGCCCCCATGCTACCTGAAAAGCAGCTCTTCCTATACCTATGGACCTGGCTCCTAAAGCCATCTACAGAGGCTGCCCTTACATTCCCTACCAGATGAGGTGAGATGAGCGGCCTTCAGGCAAATGGTCTTTTCCATGGTGGCATCCATTCCAAGGAATGAATCTCTAGAAAGGCTCCCTGGGCACTTACATTTGTGTATCTACTGGGTCTTCAGCACCAGATAAAGTGCTTTTTATTTTCTTAAGCATTTTTAAGCATTTCCTTTATTATTCTTAGACCTTAGCAATCTTCAATATAGCTGATGATTTTATGTTGGTTCTATGTGCTGCATTGTTTTTACTCTTTGCTCTTGGATTTATCTTGGCTTTATTATGTGCTGTTTTGAGTCACTGTTCCGTTGTTTGTGTTTTATATTTTTAATGTGTTCTGCAGTGCCAAAAGCACTCCTGTTATAGTGATGTCTAAATATGAGTAGATAAACAAATGTTGACACTGTATTTCATTTAGTGGATCACACTTGACTTGCCTCACAGAATTGCTGTGAGACTGAACTGGAGAAGAGGAAAGCCATTTATGGACATTTTGGTGGAAGGATGGAATCTAATTAAATAATGTAGGCAAGCTGCCATTTCTCAATCAAGACTGTTGTAGAGATAAAATGAGATCACACTAAGGAAACAGGCAGCCAGAAATCTTTAGATAAATTGTTATTATAAAGGCAGCCAGCATAGTTTAAAAATATGGTGAGCTACAGCAGCTTTAAATAAGACATAAGGTTAAGGTAAAGGTTCCCTTTGACATTTAGTCCAGTCGTGTCCGACTCTAGGGCTTGGTGCTCATCTCCGTTTCCAAGCCATAGAGCCAGCGCTTGTCCGAAGACAGTTTCTGTTGTCATGTGGCCAGCGCGACTAGACACGAAACGCCGTTACCTTCCCAATGAGGTGGTACCTATTTCTCTCCTTGCATTTTACATGCTTTTGAACTGCTAGGTTGGCAGGAGCTGGGACAAGTGACGGGAGCTCACTCCGTCGCGTGGATTCGATCTTACGACTGCTGGTCTTCTGACCCTGCAGCACAGAGGCTTCTGCAGTTTAACCCACAGCGCCACCACATCCCTAAATAAGACATATTCCACCAAAAATAAATATGGATGAAACAGGACATGGGTGAAGTATGTCTGCTATAGAAATGCCATGTAGTCTTGTGATTTTATTTTATTTTTATTTTAGGTTTGGGGATACCTCCTTGCAAGAAGGTATTAACCAGGAGAATTTGGAACTGCTAAACGAATATTACAAGTTATTCACTGAAAAAATGCCTCCTGATTGTAAGTATTTAAAAATGTTTCCATACATTATTTCATTGAAGGTACAGTGGTGCCTCGCATAGCGAGGTTAATCCGTTCCGGATTAACCTTCGCTATGGCAAAACATCGCTGAACGGGACAGAAAAGCCCATAGGAACGCATTAAACATTGTTTAATGCGTTCCAAATGGGCCGAAAACTCACAGTTCAGTGATGCTTCCCGGGTCCAGCAGCCATTTTCGCGCCCTCGTTAAGCGAGGGCAGGGCGCGAAAACGCTGCGCGCGGCCATTTAGGGGCTTCCGGCGGCCATTTTGGAGCCACCGAACAGCTGATTGTCGGGTTTCGTTTTGCGAAGATTGGTAAGCGAAACGCTTACTGATCTTCGCAAAGCGAGTTTTGCCCATAGAGGCCATCGGTATGCGATTGCATTTGCGATCGCTGAGACCCCATCGCTATGTGATTTCGTCGTTATACGTGCGCTCGTTAAGTGAGGCACCACTGTATTTCAGACAGTTATGAGTATACAACTCACAACAGGGTTTTAAAATTGTTATTAAATTGAAGATAGGGCCTTACTATTTTCTCAAATCCTCTTTACTTGAAATAACATTTCCCACCAGTAGTTCTGTGGGAATAGGCTCAAGGATTAAGTGGAATAATATTTAAAAGATGTTTTGTAGATGTGCTGTTCCCCTAATTATAAAATTGTCTCCTGCAGTTTATCCTCACGTGCCTTGATTGTACTAATTAACATGATTATACAACTGAAAATCATTTTCATCATAATTGTCTTGAGAAATCGTGTTAGTGGCCTCATCAGTTTGTGTTCCGCTGCAATTTGTGTTCTGTTGCTCCATTATTACCTTTTCAGTGTAGATTTTATCCAAAGGATTCTTGGCCCTCTTCAAAGTTATGCATTTTTTAGTTATAGGGACATTTGTATCAGAAAATACATACCATATTTTTCCATTAGATAAAGGTTCCCCTTGACATTTAGTCCAGTCGTGTCTGACTCCAGGGTGCAGTGCTCATCTCTGTTTCCAAGCCGTAGAGCCAGCGTTTGTCCAAAGATAGTTTCCATGGGCATGTGGCCTGTGCAACTAGACACGGAACGCTGTTACCTTCCCACCGAGGTGGTACCGATTTATCTGCTCGCATTTTTACATGCTTTCAAACTGCTAGGTTGGGAGGAGCTGGGACAAGAATGGGAGCTCATTCTGTCATGTGGATTCAATCTTATGACTGCTGGTCTTCTGACCTTGCAGCACAGAGGCTTCTGCAGTTTAACCCGCAGCACCACCATGTCCCTGATTTATAACATGCCCCCATTTATAAGACAACCACCAATTTTCTAACCCCCAAATTAAGAAAACTTAGCTTTGAGGATTCAGCCTCTGAGCTCAGAACGTCGGACATTTTGTCTCTGTTGAATCTTGAGCCTACAGGTTCCACCTCCAAGGAGGTGTATTCCAGTTGGTTTGTTCAAAGTCAGCTGATGTCAGTTCCATAAGGCTCCTGATTAGAAGAAGCTAATTCTCCTGACTGTAGGAAGCTAAGCCTTGTGATTGAAGGAAGCCAGTTTACAGAGGCAAGGTATGTGCCATTTTGTTCTCATCTCAGCTTACTTCAGTGTAAAAGATACCCCTCAATTTTTAGGGTAATGATTTTCAGAAAAAGTAGCATCTTGACAGAAAAATACGGTAGCTTCTTTTCTTTTCTTCTAAACCTTATATCTCTGGATCGTAAGGTAATTTTACATGTCCCAAAATTCCAGAGTGAAAAGAATCTTCAGCTGTCTGGGGATTCTGGGAGTTGTAGTACTTCACCCCATCACAACAGGAAGTCCGTTACAATGCTGGTCCATGTGCTTGTAATCTCAAAAATAGACTATTGCAATGCTCTCTGTGTGGTGGTGCTCTTGAAGGCAGTTCAGAAGCTGCAGCTGGTATAGAGTGCTGCTGCCAGGCTGGTCTATGGAGCATCCCAATGCAACCATATATACAGCAGGTATACAGCGCTGCTGCCAGGCTGATCTATGGAGCATCCCAATGCAACCATATATTTCCTGTTCTGGCACTTTTACCCTGGCTGCCTGTAGGCTTCTGGGCCAAGTCCAAGGTGCTTATACTAATATTTATAGCCCTAAATGGTTTAGGACATTGTTACCTATCTGAGTGCCTCTCCCTCAAAACATCTACCTGTTCCACCTGTTGTTTTTATATGTGGATGCTTCAAGTGGCCACTCCACTTGATCCATCCATCCATCCATCCATCCATCCATCAATTCAACATTCCTTATCTCTCTTTCTTCTCTACTTCCACTTCCTCCTTTTCCTCTGGAGCATATAATTCAGCATTCCTTAGCTCTCTTTCTTCTCCACTTCCTCCTTTTCCTCTGGAGCATATAAAATAGAATGGAATTCCTGGCTTGATCTTCTTAGAGGTTGAATTGAACTTGAAATAATTTGATAATCAGTATGACTTCCCCTCTGATCTGGACCTGATTCAGCACAATGGTGATGGCTGAAATTCTGTTGCTTTATCATCCATGTGTAAATCAAATTGTGTAACATTCAGTCATTCCTATTATTGTGCACCGCATCTGAATATCCATCTCCTGTAATGCATAAAATAATGTTTACTAGATATTGAAGCAAATTATTCACTACTAAGGCCTTAGGATCTATAGAGCAATTTGAAATAACCAATTTTTCAAAAGTTTCAAAATGTTTGGTTTTCTTTGGTCTTTCGTACAGTGGGATATAAATGTAATAAATGTTCAGGAGAGGTGTTTTCCAGACAATGGAGTACATCCATACAACCTGGAAGCCACCTTGCATTACAGCTATTAAAGATTACTTTAAATTAATCATACTATTTTGGGGCAATTTCGGGCAATGTAACTATATTTTGTAGGTGCCAAATGTTTTATTTTTGCTGACTCTTGTTTTATTATTAGTTTGTTTACTTTTTTAATTATTTTACAATTGTTTTATTGCTGATTTTATCTGTAATTTTGTTTGGTAAGTTTGGTTTTAGTTGGTATTTGATTTTAATTTTGTTTTCTAATTGTGTTATTATTCTTTTACCAATCTTATAAACCTCAGCCTAGAAGTTGATTAACTAGAAAGATAGACAGGAGTAATTTAAATAACATAACGTGAAGCTTCCCATGCTTGATAACAACCAGATAGTGAAAGACAATCAAAGTTCTTGCTTATGTGTACAGTCTACACAAAAGTATGAATGTCTCCTTTGGAGATTTGTTGTTTTCCAAGTATAGAAAGTGATGACAGAGAGAAGAGAGGTGTAGATATGGAAGGATTGATTGAATAAAATACTCATAGAGAGAAAGTTTGGAATTTTTCAAAGATTGTCTCCTTTAAGCCAAAGGAAAACATCCTTTTGTGTGGTTCTTTGTGTAGACAAAACAGCACCTTTCATGCTTGAAACATTCCTGAGGTTAACAGAAGTGCAAAAAATATTCACGAAAAATGCTTGTTGATAGGTTGAGGAATGTAAGAACAGACTATTGATGTCTAAGTATATGTAATGTTTACCAGCCATTCTAAGGGAAAAACTTAATCCAGGAACAGGGCTGGCCTATCTGGACAAGAGCAATCCACCCTAGACTACTGTATTATATGTCCCAGTTACTCAGTGACCTAAGAACACTAACTCGCTTAGGTGACCTAAGAGGCACACCATTGCATACCTCTGAGAGCATAAAGTGCCATGATTTTTATTTTTAACTAATAATGCTATCAGATATTGTTCTCTAATAATAATAATTTAATTATTAGAAGATATATTTTCAGAGTGATTCTTTAGGTCCTTTGTGGTTCTGCATGGTTTTAAACCCTCTTTCATAGAGAGCTGAATGATAATGCTAAAGGCTACAAGCCTAATAAGAGTTTGTAGTCTGGACTATCAACTGTCTAGACAGAGAAATGCTCTCAGTGCTTCAGACATGAGAGTATATAGATCCTATTATTTATAAATTTTCCTGATAAATTGAATTGTCTCTTAAAGATTGTTTAATCTTATTTTGCAAAATAAATTTTGATGTTGCTAAATGTGCCCTAATCCATATGAAAAGAGGCAAATTCTCAGAGGGCGGTAACTATGAATTCGCTAATGGACAGGTTAGTGAACTCATAGTTACCACCATCTAACAAGCCTATTCAGACCAAGTGAAACCAATGTGGAGAATATATCAGGGGTCTCCTACCAACTCTCCTGAGACTGAAGAAGCTACTTTGATAAGTAGCAAAACGTTTGAACCTAATAAGACAGAAGTCCAGTTGCCATGACCCAACGTCCAGATAACCTCACCTGGATGACTGAGAATCTTCACAGTTATATCATACAGGTTACTCAGTACAGATATAACCAAGTTCCCAAGATAATTTTTCAGTAGCTGGCAAAATCTTACAGATTACTCACATTTTCCTCCATGTTATAAATTCCAGCCACCTTCAGTTTTAGAAAACAAAACTGCATCATTATACTGGAATAAGCAACAACATATCCTGGATAAAATAATTGGTTTTAATAAGCCAAATATTATACTTATGAATAAGTAACTAAGTTACAGAATTTGGAGTTCCAGCAACAGGCAACTTTAAAAGTACAGAAAGTAAAAAAAATTGCCAAGTACTATACATTAAGGCAAGAAATTAAAAAATATGGAAACAAGATCAGGTTATCCTTCCTCTGCATACTGATTTCAGCAGCTGGAGTTGTTCCAAACTCTTTGGATACAAATTTAACACTAGCTACTACTTTCCCTCTTGAATTTCAAAAATCAGTGGTTTGCAAACATGTAATCTCACCCGCAAATTATTAGGACTTGACTCCTAATTTTTAGCCTTGACTGAATCTCACCCACAAATTATTAGGACTCCTAATTTTTAGCCTTGACTCTTTAGAATATCCTCACAGACCAAAAGTGTGCAGAAATAAGGAGTGCAATAGCAGCAATAACAACAGTAGCAACAGGCATGGCAAAATACATCAGCATCACAAAATACAGGGAAGAGAGGTTCCAACCCTCCTCCTCTGATTGCATTATATACAAAATGTTTTACTTTGGCAGTCAGCATTAATAGGAGCTTTTTCCTAATGTTAATTGCTGAATTTAGGTGATTTTCATCTTAGAGAAAATAGCAATAGAGGGGAGATTTGAACCTTTCCTCCTTCTGTGCTGTGATTCTTTACTTGAACAGAATGTTTCCTCTCTAGTTGCCTAAACATTTCTAATCCATTGGAGTATCTAAATGCTATAAATAGAAGAAAGTATTGGTTACAGCAGAGAAGCCTTCAGGATCAGACTCTCTACATTTGGTTATTCGGTGATGAAGCAGACTCTTAATTTCATATGGTCCTCCTATTAAAAATATATTTCAGGCTGAACTTTTTCTGGATCTTTACCATCACTGTTATTGTTACTTAAAATGGTTTCCTTGCTCTGCTGTGACAGGGTTGACTCAGTCACTCTGAATTCATTTGTTGGACAATATCAATTTTTTCCTTGCTGCTATGGATGTATTTAGACTCCACATAAGTTTGTGCAGATGAGGTTCATGTGTATGCGTTTTATGCTGAGATCTTCAGGTGTCACTGAGATTAGTGCTAATCGGGTTAAACTTTTCTTTAACCATGTCACTTAATCAGAAAAATACTTTGTCTTGTTGCTGTGTTCTGACTTTGATGTTTAAAATGAACGTCCCTCTAATCTTAAATTCAGTAGAAACCTCAATGCTGTGGAAGGAATTTTCTCTGAAGCTGATGAAAATTACTGCAGTGTCTTTCAAGCAGAATCTTTCTAATGAGTTTCTTCCCTTCCTGCATAAATAGATTATAAATGAAGGTGGTCTGCATTGTGAAGCTCCGATTCTGAAATTTAGTATGCAAACCTCTAATTAATTCCTCAAGAATCAAACTAGACATGATATAAGAAACCATGCTGCTAGCATGTTTTTCTTTGCTGAAAAAAGCAAATGCAAAATGACAACTTGTAAAGGACCATAGTGCTGAAGGAGACTTTAACCATACACCCTTATGCTGTTTTGCGTATTTAATCCACACACATCCAAAAGCCATGGACTTGTATAATTGCTTCTACCAGAATGCCTAGCTTGGTAGCATGGGATCCCTCATGCTTCAGTTCTCCTGCCCCATGCAAAGAAACAACAAAAAAGCAGAGGAGAGTTGGAAGAAGGGGAGCATGGGCACTTGCCAGGAATATGGGGAACTCTTCAGTGATATTGTTGAGGTTTTAAGAGGGTTTGCTAACTTCTCAACCAGCCTGGCTGTGGGATTTCTTACCTTCATTGCATATAATGTGTACAACTGACTTGATGAAATTCCTGGTTATATCTCTGATTACATTCCCTCTTCCAGATTTTGACTGCAAGCACCATTATAATTTGAAAGAAGTACTGTCTTGCCCATAATGTTCCTTCCCCCTTGGGCAGATGTTTCAGGGAACAAGATTCTCCCATAAGCTTGCAACCAAGGCACTGAAAAGTTACTGTTTTGGATTTAAACCTTCTGAATCACCCAGCCAGAATGGTCAGTTGTAGTCTCCAGCAAGGGACATGAAGTCTGAAAAAATAATTTTCCAAGCTCTGCTTGTCACCAATAAATGATGACAAGGACAGGGAACATATTTTTTTTTTCATATTTGTATGAAATAAGTTGTTGTTTCTGCTGGTTTTTAACAACTATCTTATAGGTTCTTCATCATTCTCTCTCTGATTCCTCATAAGCACTTTGCTTTTTGTACATCTGGCCTGCAATTTTGTAAAGAGCAGCAAAAGAGAGGAAGAATATAATAGGTTGCGGAATACTTCCTGTTTCCATTTAAATTATGGATATTGAGGATGCTTTGCACTTCTGAGGAAAGCCTGCAAATAGCAGTGCCTGTATTATCAAACTCAAGCTTGTTTGGTCTGTCATTAAAGGATGGTATTGCTATGTTTGATGGGGAAACTTCATGCATTAAAAATGACAACTTTTAGCAGTAGCAGTTTTTCTTTGGTGAGGAAATCCTTAACTCAGCATAAGCATTATCGTGAGCTTCTTCCTTTCTCTTTTCAGGCCTACCACATTTTCAAGAACAGAATGACTTAAAAAGATTACTAGAAAATCTCCACCAAAATATTCAGGCCAAAAAACGAAAGAATGTAGAAATCATGTGGCTGGCTGCAACGGTAAGGAGACTTTTTAAAAAAAATTAATGATATTCTGTTTTGTTAAAATGACAGTTAGGCCCTAAAAGAGATGATGTTAGTCACTAGGATCATGGCAAAGGTTTTTTAGACTCACACGTTCACTTCCTTGCACATTCCCATGTTCATAACACTCCTAAGTACTTAGCATAGTAGATTTACATGTTCCCATCCAAACTGTTTGACTGAACATCTCCTACTGTTAGGGCCCGGGGCAAAACAAACACAAATTCTTGGACCATATCTTTGAGCCCTTCTAGGCTTCCAGCTGTGTTGTGCATTACTCTGTGAATGAATAGGAGCTTTTAACAATGAACACCATATGGCATCTTCATCCTGTTTTATGAATTTACATTTATGGATAGCCAAAATTGAATTATTCATAATGATCTTGTGTTTATTTTTGTAGAAACCGACAAGCCCTTGGCACAATACAAGACATAATTGCTTGATTATTTGTTCTCATGCATTTGACACCACCAACACATACAACTATATATTTATGCAGTTAACATTCTTTAATTAGGTAATTAAGGGTATTTATAGATATTTATTCTGATAAGGATCTTAACAAATCACCTACATGTAAGTTAATTGTGTTTCTTTTTTTCAATAATTTAAACTGCAATAGCAGTACACTGCAGTGATTCATCCTTGATCCACTGCAGTGGATTGGAAGTACCTTTGAAGATCTGATAAGTGGTTACTGGTTTTTGGGTTTGGTTTTTAACAGCCAGCCCAAGAGATATTCTAGGTGGGTACCAATATAGAAACAGTTTTTTGTTATTGTGTAGTGAAAATATTCAACCTCTCAATTAGTTTTGTACCTTAAACAAGTTAATACTTACTAAGGCAAAATTCAGTAACAAGTAATCCTATTTTGTAAGAAAAAATCATTTCACTGTAAAAAGAATATAATTTGCGGTTATGAAACTTTTATTTACTTTATTTATTTTTAAACTTATTTATGTATTTGTCTATAATGTTTTATTATTGGTATTATCTATGTTGTAGGTTTTTCATTATCCAGTGGTTCACATAACATTCCGTGCACTCATTTTTGGCCAGTATGGGAGTGAGCTGTACACACATATCATCTAGATCTAGTAGAAAATAGGGATTTGCCATAATGTTTGTGAAATTGGTCTGGTAAATCATGGAGAAATGTTATAGGAATGACTCCAGTTTATCATTGTTTCCCCATTTATTCCATAGCCCATTTGCTTTGTCATTGTGCCAGCCTCATCCAAACAAGCAATGGCTGTTTGGATGAACGTCTTAACACAGATCAGGAAAGAATAAAGCTTTGTCTGCTTGCCTAGTGACTCAGGAAGATACGCCTTTGTTCTTTGCAAGTCTTCACTTTGCAAGCAGAAGTGGTTGCACGAATTCTAAATAAGCAGGAAGGAAGGAGCCAAGCAACCAGGTTATCAGAAGAAAGTTACGAACTCCTGTGCTTAGTTGCTTCAAGTTCACCATCACCAGACTTGTAGCATTTTAGAGGTTGTCTACTTGGTGTATAGATCACTATATGGAACACTGTTGGCATAGTTTGGATTGGACCAAATTACACCATCCACATGTGCCTCCCTTTAAATTGATCCATCCTCCCCCTTTAAGAGCTATCCTGCACCTTTTTGAACTCCTGCCAGGGGTTTTTGGTGCAGCTTGCAAGGCTTGAGTAAAATCCATTATCGGTGAGTGTGGTCACTTGGAATGGACTAATTAGAGCCTTGCAGGTTCTTCTGGTGACAATTTTGAGTACCCTGAAATGTTTTATGAGACCCTTCATGATATCAGAAATTGAACGCTTCCCACAGATTGCCTGTTGGACGGTCAGGGGAAGTGAAATTATATATTTTTTACATTTGCTAGATCATCGTTGAAATGATACATCACTTCTGTTAAATAAAAAAAAATGCTTGTCTGTGTATTGCTGATGGAGCTATCACTTCTCCCTCCCTCCCTGCAACTTGCCAAGCATCTTTCCTTGACAGGACATCTGCAGTGCAGGTCTGTTTATAACCTGCTGGAGCAAACATTTAGACAACCAAAACTGAACACACACACACCCTCTCCTCTTACAGAAACACCTGCCTTGGTATCGGTGGCTGCAGTCAGTTTCTCCATTGGCAATACACAGACAGGCAAAGAAAAATATTTTCTTAATTTAACAGAAGTGATGAATCACTTGAGCGATGATTTACGAGAAATAAGAAAAAATATTTCACCTCCCCTGTCTCTGGAAAGTATTAGGAAAATTCAGCAGGTCCAAAATCTGGCAGCCAGATTGCTGACTGGGGCTGATTACAAGGATCACATATCACACACAATATCTGTTTCCGGGACCAGTTCAAATTTAATTCAACCTATAAAGCCCAAAATGACTTGGGCCCAAGCTATCTGAAAGGCTGTATCTCCATTTATGAGCCTACCTGGGTATTGAGCTCATGAGTGGAGACTGTTCTCTTGGTCCCACAACTCTCACAGGTGCATTTGGTGGGGACATGGGAAAGGGCCTTCCAGTCACTGCTACCAGACTCTGGAACTCCCTCCCACAGGATGCCAGCCTGGCCCCATCATTGTTGTCTTTCAACAAGTAGGTGAAGACTTCTCTTCAGGTAGGCTTTTCTTTGGTGACAGACTGTCTAGGAGATGTTTTAAAATGAGATGGTTTGCATTTTGTTGCTTCTTAATCTGTTTTAATTATGCTTTACCTAAGATTCTTGTTGCAATATTATTAATTTGTTTAATATTTAAATAATTCACCATTTTTAGCTTTAATGTTGTGTTTTAATGATGTAAGTCACCTTAGGTCCTTTCTTAGGAGAAAGGCAGGGTAAAAATATTTTAAATAAATATATATGAGGAAGAGCCCTGACTGGCATGGATTTTGTTATGTGTCTAAAGACCATTCATGGCTCCAGTCATATGCAAAATTAGTGTGGGGTGTGGCTACACAATGTAGGGGAGCAGGGCTAGTTTGCACAGAACATGATCACCCTGTGAGGCTCATAAATGTAGTCCTTTAATTCTTTGATCCTTATGGTTCTGCTTTCACATATATCATAAGAAAATAGGAAGTTTCTACTGATTCTCAGACCACAAACACATCTAGCTCAGAACTGTCCACTCTGACTGACAGCAGTTCTTCTGAGTTTCAGACAGGATTGTTTCCTAACTATGCCGGAAGATCTCCTATCCAGGCACTAGCCAAAACCACCCCTGCATACAGAACATCTGAAATAGATTGGGTTGATTGTGTTTAAGATGGTATAGTGGTGATAACACTAGCCCTCCTAGTATTGTTAGATTGTCCCTCCCATAAGCTCTGGGTCAGTGGCCCCACTGTACATAACATCTGAAATAGATTGGGTTGATTGTGTTTAAGGTGGTATAGTGGTGATAACACTAGCCCTCCTAGTGTTGTTAGATTGTCCCTCCCATAAGCTCTGGGTCAATGGGAGTGAGCAGTGTTTTGCTGCATTTCGCCCATATTTGCCTTAAATGTATCATTTGTTGTGATAGGTAGAAATGCATCTCACTTCTGTAAACGAATTCTCTGTTCCTACTCATTGTCCTTTGATTTTACCAGAACGGTAGTTTATAAATACAGCTATTGGTATTTCTTCCTGCATCATTTAACCCTAAACAGCTGTCATCTTTACTGCCATTTATAAGTTGGAATAACAGCATAGTTTTCAGAGTGAAGATCATTTGTATATCAGATTTCACATTACCATATTCTTTGTATCAGTACATAGCCCGTTCTTAATACTTCACTCTTCCCTGTTCATTTACTGACTGGTCAAAACACTTGGGTTAGCACTTCTTAAATGGGAATTTGAAAACAACAGTGGCGTTAAGATGCTTGTTAATAATGAGTTACTTTTTATTTAATTATTTAAAAATGTACTGAAAATGCAAACCAAAATGGTCACTACCACCCAGATGGACTCCAAAAGGCAATGTTTTAGGAGTAATGGGTATGTGTCATTCATTACCCCCAAGTAGTAACGAAATTAGCAATTGCTATACAAAAGTACCCCTGTATCCATAGGGCATCCATTCCATGATTTACTGTGAATGTCTGAATACAACATTCAAGGAGGAGGAACAAAGGCTACAAGGGAGTAGGACAAAGGCCACAAGGCCTGCCTCTTTGTATGTTGTATTTAAGGCTGAGGTAAACTGTGGATAACTGAAACAGGTATCAGTCTTACGGATCCAGGAATCGTACTGCGTTAGCTTTAAAAGATAAAGATGTTGGTAATGTTATTCAAACAAAGTAACATGTTCAGTACACCTAACTAGATACAAGATAACATAGTTTTCTTAGGAATGTTTGTCCTGTGTTTTTAAAATTTTGCAGAAAATAACTTTCTTCCATTCTAGAAAATAACCTTCCTCTATCCCTCATAATCAACTTCCTTGCATTTTTTCGTCAACTTCAATAACTTGGAAAGATGTCAGATCAATTAGCAGTGACAGAATTGATGATAGTGTTGATATAATGATATTTATATAGTGTATGTAAAATTGTTGATTTTTTATAGATTTAGTTTTGTTGAGTAACTTTGTGTCCCCTGTGAGGAGAAAGGCTATATATATAAAAACTGACACGAGGGTCATTATTGTTTTGTTGGTTCATTTCATTTTAAAATGAGTATTTTCATAAATGAGTTGTATTCTTCAAAAGCAAACATTATCACATCAGTCTGTGAATATCACATATGGTGTAGAGGCATTAATAATTGCTGCAGAATAATAAATGTCATTCCCCAGTAGAATACATGCAGAATAAACCAGAATCTGACAATAGCTCAAATAAATAAAATTGTGTTAAACTTGACACAGCTTTTTGAAAGTGTTAATTTTATCTCTATCATAATAGTATTAACAAGGAGGAGGAAGAAGGTGCAGTTTTGAGAGACGGAAATAACAAAGATAAACATTAGAGTTCAGATTTTTCAAGACATATTCTCCCTTATCCCGCCTAACTCCCGTTCATCAAGACTGCTTGTTCTTTGTAATGGATAGTCCAAATATAGATTGCCAAATTTCTGTGACAGCTTGCATGTTACACTGAAGGACAAGCTATATGACATGGGGCTTGGGAAGGGGGTGTAGATAGGTTCCAGACCATTCTTGTGCTGTTGTATCCCTTTCCTAGGAATATGTAATAATATTCCGTAATATTAGAAAGGGCATAACTGCTTACATAATTTACATCATAGGTCCAGGAGAATGCCACCTTAATTTTAGTTACTGGTTTTCCTGTTGTTTAGGGCAACTAACTTTACTGAATGCAGGAAATAGATAAGTCAGAAGCTGCTTCCTTTCTTAACTGAATGTAAAATTCTTGTTGGCCTGTGTTCCTGTCACTTTCTCTTATGTTCCCCTCTACTCACCAGTCTGTTTGATTTATGGCAGCTCTGCTGAGCTCTGGCAAAGACAGCTTTCTGATCAAAAAGGGCCAATTCACACTTGTATGCTTATTGTCTGATTTTTGTTTGTTGCATGTCAAGGAGTTGTTCCAACTGCTGTCTTTGAAAATAATTAAGTTTTAGGTAAATAACACATTTTTTTCAGTATTCATATATCATCTATGATAGTTCAAGCAAATATGCAGGTGACCCCTGGATGGTACACATAGCCATTGAGTGATGGACATGTATTTGTGAACAAAATGACAGAGCCATGATTATTTTTTTCTTTGATTACTACTTGGGGAGCTTCCACAAAAAGTAGAAGGATTATAACAAAGACGTAAAAGGCCTGGTTGTGACATGATGGCTACATATGTAAGGATGTATCATTAGAGACCAAGACTAAGATCATCCATACTCTTGTGTTTACTGTCACCGTGTATGGATGTGAAAGCTGGGCAGTTAAGAAGGTTGACAGGCAAAAAAATTTTATTTGATTGAAATGTGGTGCTATAGGAGAGCTTTACAGAAACTTTGATTGCCAGAAAGATAAACAAGTGGATCCTGGATGAAATTAAGCCTGAACTATCTCTGGAGGCAGAAATGTTGAAACTGAGGCTGTCCTACTTTGGGCACACTATGAGAAGACAGATTTCTCTGGAAAAGACAATAATGCTTGAAAAGGTGGCATGCAGCACGAAAAGAGGAAGACCAAATACAGTATGAAATGGACTGACTCCCTAAAAGAACCCCCAGGCTTGAGTCTACAAGAGGTGAGCAGGATGGCTGAGGACAGGACATTGAAAAGGTGGCATGCAGCACGAAAAGAGGAAGACCAAATACAGTATGAAATGGACTGACTCCCTAAAAGAACCCCCAGGCTTGAGTCTACAAGAGGTGAGCAGGACGGCTGAGGACAGGACATTCTGGATAGCATTTATTTATAGGGCCACCATGAGTCAGAGGCAACTTGATGACAAATGACTAGCATTTATTTATAGGGTCACCTGAGTCAGAGGCAACTTGATGACAAATGACAACAGAAAAATCCAGACCAGTGCTAGCTGGTGTACACTGTATGAATACAGGAGGTTCCTCCCACATTTTATTTTTTCAGGAATGCTGGAGGGGGGCAAGCATTTGAGTAATAATGGTGGTAAGAGAAGTCTGAAAACTAAAACAGTAGCCCTCCCTCTTTACCTGAAAAGTGGAAGAAGAAACAAACACCCCAACCTACCCCTTACCTATTTTGAACAGCTATAAACATATGCTAAGTAATGAGTTCAGTCATGTGGGCATACTTTTTGCAGCCATGAAATGGAATAAAACATGAAGAATTAAACCGATGCTTCCTTGGATCCATTTTGCTGTATTCCATAGTTGTTGGATACCAGTGAGCTGCAAGAACTGACCTTTCTCAAACTGTGTTGGCAGCTAAGACCAATTACATGTTTGCTGTTCTCAAGGAATGCAGTTCTACTGATTTTTCAGAACTCATTGAGTTCAGAAGCCATTGGGGGTTGACTATCCACTGGCTGGGTTATAGACGTGTCTCATGCCTTTTTATGCCTTTCTAATAGTAGAATCCACAGTATTTTACTTTTCCCCATGTGTTACACATTCCTTATCTTTTTTTGTTGTTGTTCTATTGCCAAAGCCTTTGTTCTTCAGCATCTGCTCTATCCAGTTGTAGATTCTTTGAAATTTTATATTTTAATTTAGAAAGCTTAATCAGGAATCCTTTAATGATGCTGATTTAAACCTATTTTTAAAAACATAAGCACAAACTTCAAAGGTTGTAAAATGCGATTATTAATGCAAGAGGTTAGACCCCCCCAAAAAAAAGGAAGAAGGTGGATAAATCTCTTTGGAGTGACACCTCATATGGCACACAAATTGTATAACAATTAGAGTAGTAGGTGGAGAATGATGCTGATCAGTTGTATTTAAAACAACCGCTGTTCTCCAAGTATACTTAAAAGCTGATTATATCTTTTATCTCTTATACCACTTGAAAGAGTAATTTTGTGAGTTTTTTGCAAAATCATTATACTTAATTTAATACAAGTACCCTTCTGTCAGATCAGACCGAAAGCCATTCTAATCCAGTGTCGTTTTCCCAGCTATAGCCAATCATATGCATTTTGGGAGGAAACCTAACAGGCAAGATTTGAAGCCAAGAGGCCTTTGAATGCTTGTGTTTTCAACAGCTTGCTAGAAGTACTTCCTCCGAGCCTGAAGGCGGCACATTGTCATAATAATTTTTTTTTTAAAATAAAAGATTGAATCCAGTTTTCTCAAGTAGAAGTAGGAGTATGTGGTTGTACATATTTTTCTGTGGGTTCTTTTCATACACATTTTCTGTGGAAAACCAGTTGTATTGATTTACAGCTTTTTACCATGCTTTCTTTATACATCAAAGCAGCTACTAAAACAACTAGTGTATCAGTTTACAAACAGTACAACATTATAAACTTTAAACTGTAATAGCCTTCTTTTCTCTGCATTTATATAATTCCTTTTAAAAAGACAAATCTAAGTGTCATCAAAGCTACCAACATGAATTTGACAAAACTCCAGGAGGCAGTGGAAGACAGGAGGGCCTGGCGTGCTCTGGTCCATGGGGTCACGAACATTAGTGGCTCAGTAACGCACTAGTTTGCACCTTTTAGGCATTTTGGGTTCCAGTGCCTTCTGGCCATTGAAGAATACTTGAAGTACTGGGTTGGGAAAGTTAAAAGTTACTGTACATTATTGCAGCTGATAAGACTTACAAAATGTGTTGTTTTTTAATCAAGTAGAACAACTACTTCATGTTTTCTTAAAACTAACCATCTTGTGAACACTTTTGAATCATAGCCCTACTGGGCTGGAATGTTTATTTGCAGTTTCTACTTCTATGTATGCATAAAACTGCAAACAGACAAGTTAAAAAATAAGCCAAATACATGTTTTATGAGGCTATTGCTGCTCCATATGAAAGGAGGTGACCAGGAGATTAAAAATGCTGATGTTTCATGCTCAGCACAAAAGAACTCAATATGTCAGAAAAACACTTTTATTTCAGACAGTAAAGGTGACAATAATTGTGCTATCTAGGAATAAGAAAATTTATTGTTCAATAGTTTTGTTTCACTTGAATAAGTGTTTTGGACAAAATAAAGCTTCATCCATTTTGAAACCAATTTCAAGACCTTTTTCAGTGAAATTTCTTCCTGTGGTCTCAGGTATTCCTTATTGCACCTAAATATTAGTAGTACTGTGTCTGAATGTATTCTGTGGTGGTGAGATTCAAGTCCAATTGAGGATACAGATACTAAGCAGATGACAGTGGATCATTGACTGAGGAATGGGACAGTCAAGTTGTTAACTAGCCCGAATGATAAACTAGGTAGATTTGACTGTCACAGATATGATAAGAATTGTTAAGGTGCAGACATCAAAGTCTATCATGGGAGGCAACTATTTTATATCCATATGATATTACAAAAAGCTGGGTTATTAATATAGGTAGTGCACTAGGAATCCTTGAACCCCATTTTGGCCCTTAGACATGTCAAGCAGCTTCTTTATGTAGTCAATTGCTGCTGTCCCGCTCTTGAATCTCCCTTTATAATTTCTTTTTTCTACAGTTGCCACTTTGAGATCCATAACAGAGTGTCCTGGGAGACTGAAGTGTTTTGAAACTGGTTTCCCTGTGTTGCTCTTCCTAATGTTTTATATGTGTCTGTTCTTTCTTTTGGAAAAGGATCGCCCTGTTTGTATTGGAAGCAAACAGGTAATGCTGGTAGAAGGTAGCATAAATTACAGTAGAGAATGAATAAGCAGATGAGCCCATGAAATTGAAGTTGACATGATTGGGATACTTGTTGATGCTGCCATTGTTAGGTACAGAGGCACAACTGGCATCTACTGTAGGTCTGTGACAGGGTCTTCCTCTTTTCATCTTCATCATGTTATGTTGCCTAATGTGTGGCAGTAGTTCTTTAAGACTGGAGGATTGTATGTTAGCAATCAAGCCCCCTACTGAGGGATATCACCTGTCAGCATTCTGGACAATAATGCTTCTTTATTCTAGGCTTTCTTACACACATCCCTCCAATAGCCATGACATGAGAGGGTTTTTTTTTAAATTATTTGTTCATCCTCTAGTATTATTTATGCCATTTTCTGCATCATCATCATCATCATTATTGCAGCAACTCAATTCTCCTTTGTTTACTTGGTCAAAATGAAGGTGCTAAAAACAATTCTTGATCTATTTGTAAAATGTTTGCATTTCCCAATATGTTGGTCTGTATAATCCCACTGGAACTGATGGCAGTCACTGACTCAATTTCTCTGTGTGTTGCAGATTTGCCGCAAGCTAAATGGAATACGGTTCACCTGTTGTAAAAGTGCCAAAGATAGAACATCCATGTCAGTGACACTAGAACAATGCTCAATTTTAAGAGATGAGCATCAGCTACACAAAGATTTCTTTATTCGAGCTCTGGACTGTATGAGGAGGTATGTTCATAATTTCTTTCTCATGTTTCCCATAGTTCAAATTACTATGCACCCCTTTCCCTTACTGAATCCTCATAAAGATATTTTATAAAACTGGTAAAAAGTGCTTAATTTTAAAAAGTAATCAGTTTCACTTAATTTCTATTGGTTTGTTCAAAAATAAAATATATACATATAGCATAGGGTTAAAGGGGAGTGATACCAGTTATTTTTATTTAGTCCATACTGCTTAAATGCAAATTCCATGTGTATAACTGCAAGGATGAAGATGGAATTTATCAACAATGTGGAATTAGGAGGAATAGTATGGTTTTGATCAGAAGCACAAAAGACACGTGAAATCAAACAACTTTTACAATTTATTACTGTATTTTTTGCACCATAAGACTCACTTTTTTCCCACAAAACAGGGGTGTGGAAAATGAAATCAAACAACTTTTACAATTTATTATTTTGTTATTGCTGTTCAAGGGAACTGGTATTATAAACGTTATTGACTTAGCCAAGTGCTTGAAAGCATTTTTGATAAAAAGTCAAAATTGCTTGCCCTTTTTGGCTTAATTTTCTATAATTAAATTCTTCACTCCGTCATCATTTGTTAAGCAGATCTCCAGGGATAGTTAATTATATCCTCTGTTGTCTAGCAGAACACAGGAATATTCAAGCTGTTTTCATGCGTCATATCTAGACAACAAAATATGTATTTTATCTTACTTTAATATTGTTGTTATGTGCTGTCAAGTCATCTTCAACCTATGGCAACCCTATGAATCATCAATCTTCAAAATGTGTCCTCAGCAGTCCTGCCCAGGTCTTGTAAGCCTCTCAAGCTCATGGCTTCCTTTAAGGAATCAGTACATCTCATATTTGGTCTTCCTCTTTTCCTGCTGTTTTCAGCCTTTCTCAACATTATTTCCAGCGAATCCTGCTTTCTCATGGTACGTCCAAAACATGGGAGCTCAGTTTCATCATTTTTGCTTCCAGATATAGTTCAGCACCTACTTGTTCATATTTCTGGCAGTCCAGGGTATCCAGAGAGTTCTACTCCAGCACAATATTTCAAATGAGTCAATTTTTTTTCAGTCAAGCTTATTTTACAGTCATATTATGATGGGGAATACAATAGTGAGGATGATTTTGACCTTGGTCTCCAGTGACACATCCATTTCTAATTCTTTCATCGCTGCCCTTCCAAGTCTCAGCCTTCTGATTTCTTGGCTGTAGTCTCCATTTGGATTGATGATTGAGCCAAAGTATACAACGTCTTTAACAAATTCAATTTCTTTATTGTCAACATTAAGGCTATATCGTACTTCCGTAGTCATGATTTTTGGTTTTAATATTAAACTGCAATCCTGCTTTAACACTTTCTTCTCTCACTTTCATCAAAATTAATTTTAAGTCTTTGCTGCTTGCTGCAAATAAAGTGGTGTCACCTGCTTATCTTAAATTATTGATGTTTCTTCCACCAGTTTTCACTCCTCCTTCATCTGAATCTAGTTTGGCTTCCCCATGTTATGTTCTGAATATAGATTAAACAAACAGGAAGATAAAATGCATCCTTGCCTGACATCTTTGCTTATAGAAAACCATTCTGTCTCTCCATATTCTGTCCTAGCAGCACTTTTTTGTCCACATTACAAGTTACACAAGAACAATGAAGTACTGAGGCACACCCATTTCTTTCAGAACAGCCCATAGCTTCTCATGATCCACGTAGTCAGAGGCTTTGCTGTAATCTATAAAGCACAATCTGTCTTCTGGAATTATTTAGTGTGCTCCAGCAGTTAGCAGATATTTGCAGCATGATTTCGAGTGCCTCTTCTTTTTTTGGAATCTAGCCTGAGTATCAGGCATTTCTCACTCCATAAGAGGAAAAAGTCTTTGTTGCAATCCCTTGAGCATCACTTTGTTTGTATGGAAAATTAGAACAATGGTCCTATATTTACTGCCCTCCTTTGCCTCTACTTCCTTGGGAATTGGAATGTATATTGAATATTGGCAGTCTGTGGGACAATGTTTTGGTTTCCATGTTTGTAGGCATATTCTTGTTAGAATGACAGATTCAGTCTTGGGGACTTGAAATAGTTCTATCAGTATCCCATATCCTCCTGGTGATTTATTTCTTCCCAGTGCTTTCAGACCAGCTTTCACTTCACTTTTTCAAAGGTTTTTCTTTCCTCATCAAAAGAATCTGTCATTCTTTTATCTCTTCTGTATAGTACTTCAGTGCACTGTTTCGGCCTTTTTATTTTCTCTTGGTCATATAGTGTGCTTCCATGCTGGTCTTTCATCATTCCTAATCTAGGGTTAAATTTCTTTGCACAAGTAATTGTAACAGACTTTTAATATAGTAATTGCTAAAAATTCTGGATTTTTATTCACACTCTTTATATAACTGAACTGAAAGAGCTTAAGTACTTTGTAAGTAACAATACAGCCATCAAAATAGGAATGAATTGTGTGTTTTTAAAAGTTGCTAAGGGCTACAGTAACAACTCAGCAATTTAGTTGTTCGGCTTGTTTCAAACTTGCTAATGTTGTATCCTGCTGTGTTACATGTACATTTTCATATACTGTACATCAATATGGTCCACATATTCAATTGCCTCTATAGCATTTCAGCCATAGATCAATGCATGTGTTGGCATATCACACCTGAATGTGCTTTTACTAATCATCAATTTACTTCCTACAACTATTCATAGTTTCCATTTGCATTCTAACTACAGTACCCTGAATTTTAGACTAAGCTTTCAGTACACATGGCAAATTTAAGATTGTGGTGGCATTGTTGTTACTTCCCAAAATTTTAGACTAAGCTTTCAGGACACATGGCAAATTTAAGATTGTGGTGGCATTGTTGTTACTTCTTGCTGTTGGAGTAAAATCTTTGCAACTTAAACTTTCAATGCTATGTGTAGATTTTAAAATTTGTAGTTGAAAAACAGCAGTTTTAATCTCAGACAATTAATAATCTGCATCAGTGCAAATTATAAATAAGAAACAATGCATTGTTCCAGAGGAGTTCACACCATAGGCTAGTTTCTTGGATCAGATCCACAGCTATCATTATCTATAACAGTGCCCAGTTTAGAAATTCACAGTCATAAAATAATTGTTCATAGTCATCCACAGTGGTTTCTATCTTATTTTATTTTTATTTATTTATTTATTCAATTTATATGCCGCCCACACTACCCAGAGGTCTTGCATCCAGAAGTACAGTATATAAGTTCTGACCTAGATATTCACTGTCTAATAACTATTGACTGCTTTATTCATCATTCAGTAATTAATGTGCTTCCATTTAGGAGCCATGTGAAAGGTGATTTCAATGTTTTTATCTCTAGTAATGATACTAACTGCATGGTTTATTACAATAGGAAAAGGTTTTTTTAACTAGAAACAAATACAGTAGGATCCCCATGTTTGTGGGATCGGTATCCGTAGTTTCAGTTATCCGTGGTTTACCACAGGTCTAGGTAGAACATACAACTGGGTGGGCCTTATGATCTTTGTCCTACTCCCTTGTGGCCTTTGTCCCACCTCCTTATATGTTGTATATAGGGTTCGTTACTATCTGCAGTTTCAGATATTTGCTGTAATTGTGTAATGGATCCTTCACAGATACGGGGGTACTAATGTAATTAAGCTAATTTCTGTCTTTGCATATCTGGCAATTAATTCTCCATATAAGTATCTGAAAATTCTAGATCCATTTGCTATTCTCCGAATAGACCCATTGAATAAATTGCAAAATAGCTACTTAATATGTGTGTAATTCCTATCGATTTGGTGGGTTTACTGTAGCTGAGACTACAATATAGATTTAGCCCATTAGGTAGGAAGATAGATTGATAGAGAGATTGATAGAGAGATTGCTAGATTGATAGAGAGCCTCGTGGCGCAGTGGTTAAAACGCTGTACTGCAAGCTAAAACTGTGCTCACGACCTGGGGTTTAAATCCCAGGTAGCCGGCTCAAGGTTGACTCAGCCTTCCATCCTTCCGAGGTCGGTAAAATGAGTACCCAGCTTGCTGGGGGGGGGGCAATGTGTAGCCTGTATAATTAAAAATTGTAAACCGCCCGGAGAGTGCTTGTAGCTCTATGGGGCGGTATATAAGTCCAATAAATAATAATAATAATAATAAGATAAACATACATATGGACACATATCCTTTTTCCAGATCAGTATAAGTTAAAATAAATACAGGCACTCATAGGGCAGAATAAACAACAACAAACAGTGCCTAAATTTTGAACAAAACAAACCCATCAGAAAGACCAACAACATTAATACAACTATATTATAGATTTTCCAGTGACTGACATTTTTCACTGTCACAGTATTCTGAATGGATGTTTTTAATGAGCTTTTTATTGTAAACTCAAGATGTCTTCCAAGCACTCAGCTGAATTAGACCCTCTGAGCATATGGGAGATGGGGGAGCAATAAAAGAGGAAGAACTGTAATTCACAGTTAGAGCACATGTTTGGGCATTTCCCAATTGTAGTTGGGGAAACCTTGCTGTGATGTTGCTGATTAATGCAAACTCTACTGAACTGTGTGACCACTGGTCTTCGTAGTCGTTTAGTCATGTCCGACTGTTCGTGACATCAAGGTCCAGGGAGTCTTCTCTTCTCATGAGATGGCCAAAGTATTGGAGCCTCAGGTTCAGGATCTGTCCTTCCAGTGAGCACTCAGGGTTGATTTCCTTTAGAATGGATAGGTTTGTTTTCCTTGCAGTCCAGGGGACTCTTAAGACCCTCCTCCAGCAGCACAATTCAAAAGTATCAATTCTTCAGCGTTCAGCTTTCTTTATGGTCCAGCTCTCACTTCCATACATCACTACAGGGTAAACCATAGCTTTGACTATTTGGACTTTTGTTGGCAAGGTGATGTCTCTGCTTTTTAAGATGCTGTCTAGGTTTGTCATCCATTTCCTCCCAAGAAGCAGGCATCTTTTAATTTCGTGGCTGCTGTCTCCATTTGCAGTG